GGGAAGCCTCTGCTCTCGGCTGGCGAACAGGGCGCTGCTTGTCCCCCGGAGCCTTGAGATGAGCTGGCCTCTCGCCAAGGAAAGCTTGGCACGTGTTGAGTCGCTCGGCGGCACCCGCGGGCCTGCGCCCGCTTCCGCCACCTTTTTGGTCCCAGGGCTGCTTCTGCTCTGTTAGAGGACCCATCGCAATGTAGGGAAGGGACACGCCACCCCTGCCAGGTGGCACCCCAACTCACTTGCTACCCAGACCCCATTCACTCACATAGCACCCGAGAGCCAGTGTGGCCTAATGGTTAGAGCACTGGAGCAGGGGCCTGGGAGATCCATGTTCTAGTCTACACTCAGCCATGGGGGACTTTGGGCCAGGCACAGGCTCTCAGACTAACCTACCTCACAGGGTTGTTGTTGTGGAGCTGTGAGAGGGTTCCTTGAAAATCGAAGAAAGGTGAGCTATCTGCATAAAGCTGGAAGATGTTCTCCTGGGTGTTCCAATCAGGCTTTTCGGTTTTCCCATTGTTCCCAGCGGAGGGGAGACGAGGAGGGGTCTCTGAAGGCATCAAGCACAGGGCAGGGAAGGGCCGGCCTTCTTCTCACCCAAAAATGATGCCACACTGCAAGGAGGCAGTCGGACACGCTCTTTGCCCAAATCCTGAATGCAGAGGTTGGAAGCGGGTGGGGCTTCTCTCCGATTTTCGCTAACAGGAGAGCACAGGAATTTTAGGGGCGAGGAACAGGCTCAGGGGCACACATGAGTGCCCCACGGGCGGCCCCGGCAATTCCCCATCCCCGCCACAAGGCCAGTGCAATCACGGGTCTGGATGTTGTGTTGGCCAGTCGCACCAAATTCAACACACCTGGAGCACTAAGTGTGCGACCCTGGGGCTGGGGCACTGTTAGATGGAAAAGCTTCGAGAGCAGCAATACATTGCAGGGCCTTTTCGGTGGTGGCCCCGCTATTGCGGGACAATATCCCTGCCGGGCCCTCCCTCGTGCCAACCTTGTCTTCTCCTTCACACCAGCTGAAGACGAACAGCATGGATCATACGAGCTGCTTGAACATGTCCAGTTTTTTGCTGAATTTGTTTTAGCTGTTAATACAGCTTTAAACATATATGGAAGTTTTATGTGGTAGGTTAGGATAGTCTATAGTACTTGTGTTTTGTATTTTGTGTACTGCTGTGAACTGCCTAGAAAGCTTTAGCTATTGGGCAGCACTGAAATGGAATCATTTATTTATGTATATCCCACCTCACCCCCGTAGTGGGACTCAAGGCGGCTCCATGGGGTTCCATGGGGTCTCCCCTCCAAGCTCAGGCCAGCCCTGGACTGGCTTAGCTTCGGAATGCAGAATGCCTTACATGCTTTCAGGCCAGACTCTGCATGCTACTTGAAATGCCTCAACCCCCAGCATTCCCCAGTTGGACCTTTTTTCCCCCCATTTAAACATGGATCGCACCCGGATCCACGTATTTCTGGCGTAAGATTCTGCAGACACTCTGCTGGCTGGGAATGATGGGAATTGTGCTCAACACATCAGGCTGGGAAAGGCTGGCATGAGTCTCAGAAAAGAGGCCTGCCTCAAAATGCTGGAAAAGCATCAGAAATGTCTTTGTTGGTGCAAAGGCCAGCGGCTCACCTGGTCTGGAACGAAACTATTTAGTCATTTATTTAAAGTTATTATAGGCCCTTCCAATACTCAAAGTCTCTGGACGGCTTACAAAAAGCAAAAAGAAGCAGCCATACACAAGTAGCATCCCACAAACCATGACAATGGCCACGATTACTTTTTTCTGCTTCCTTGCACTGCAGCGACTGGTTTGACAGCAGTTCGCTGCTTGTATTCCTCATGCTCAATGTTATGAAGCAGCCAGGAGCTTGTTTTTACCTGCAGACAGGTGTGCACACCAGCCCCCGTTGCTGCAAAGGTAGCTGCCCCTGCTCCAAGAACCGCTCTGATCCCAGGATCAGCCTCCCGCAAAAGAGGCATTACTGGGCTACAGAAGCAGCGGCGAACACTTCCAGGGCCATTCCGACTCTGCATCCAAAGAAGCCCATTTAATCGTCTCTGCCCTCCCTCGCCCGCAGGATTCCCAAGCGCACACGTCTTTCAGGCCCAGATGCAAATCTTGGTTCAGCATGAGGTGTGCACTTCCTGCCCAGTTAAATGTTTTGTGGAAAGAAAGCGCATCACACATAATGACTAGGAGGCAAACCTGCAAATACTCGCACGGCTCCCATGTTGGGAGTTTAGGAGCTAGACATGAGCTGCAGCATATCCCTGCTGCCACAGACTCAGCAAGCAGCCTTCGCGGACTATCCACCACACAAGCAACAACGGAGGCGGATCCCCAGTGACTGAGAATAAATTCAGCTCATTAAAAAAAACCCCAAATGTTCCCAGTTATAACAGTCTGCACCACCTTAAAGTCTTGCAAACTGCTTCTGGTCTAGGCTTTGAGGGCCCACTTCATCAGATGCACGGAATATTTGGGAATGTTTCCCTGGTGGCAGTGAAGGAAGAACTGAGAAAAGACAGCCAGTGTTGCCTAGTGGTTAGAGCACAGAACTGGAACTCAGGAGATCCAGGTTCTAGCCCCCGCTCACTCATGAAGATCACTGGGTGATTTTGGGCCAGTCCCTTCCTCCTGGCCCAACCTACCTCCCAGGGTTGCGACACTAACGTGGAGAGAGAAGCAGGATCATTTAAGCCACCTTGGGCTCCTTGCAGGAAAAAGGGTGGGAATTTGATTCTAAAGAGCCTGATCTGCCGACTGTTAGGCCCTGAAGTCCCAGCATGCCCTGGCCAGTGGCTTGGAGATCCTGGGAGTTGTAGTCTGACGCACTGAAGAACCCAGGCTGGGGGAGGCCAGGTTGGCCTTCCACCCAAGAGACCGTGCCCAGGACTAGGATGCGGCAGCGCAGCTCTGCATGCTTCTCAGATGTTCCCAGGCCACGGAGTCCCAGAGAAGCGGGCGCCCTGGCCAGTTTTGGTTCCCTGAGCTCCAGACAGGCAGCTCCTCCTGCAGCCGGGCCCCCGCCACCTGCCGCCTGGGGAAGTAAACAGGCGAGCAGCTTAATTCTCCCTCCGCTCGCTGTCCATTTTGCACTGGGTGTGCACTGGGTGTGCTCAGTTGCCAGCCATTGTTCAATGCCAGCCTTTCCCAACCTGATGCCCTCCAGAGCTATCAGACTACATTGCCCATCAGCCCAGCCAGCAGGGGAAAAGGTCAGGGATTGCAGGAGATGTGTTTCAATACATCTGGAGAGCACCCAGTTGGGAGAGGCTGACTGTGAATGGCCCTAGAAGGACGAAAGGCAGTACAAAGGAGGTCTTTCAACGCAGGGGTGTCCGGTGAAGATGATTGGGCAGAGAAACCATGATGGTTTCCATGTTGGGCATTATCTATTGCGGTTTTCTCCAAGTTGGGACCACAGCACATCTGTAGCATGTTGGTTTGGGAAAGGGGATAGAAACACAGAAACAGAATGAGTCAGAAGGGGCCTCCTGGGCCATCTAGTCTGACCCCCGGTTCCAACCCTGGATCTACTGCAATGTCTTACAATTCTACATCAACTGCAATCTGAGGGTCCAGCAAAAAAGCCAGTGATAAATACTTTTAACATGTAATAATGAGCTATATGCTAAAAATTAATCAAGTACACGGCATGGGCAGAATGAGGACTGAGCGATCGCGGAGGGTAGTTAATTCTTATGTCCGGACTGCATTCCAAAGAAACCTGAGCACCTCAGACTGAAATGCATCCATGGAATCCACAAGACGCATGGAGCCTCTTGCTAGCTCAACAGTGGGCCCAAGTGGACCGGAGCGAGTGGCCAGCCAGGGCCCTGCGGCAAGACCACAAGCAAGCGCACGGCTTCCGGACACCCACAGCGGAGATACAAAGGTCTCCATGGTCAAACACAGCCACAGATCTCTTTGCCAGTCACACATCCCTCAAAAACCAGGCGCAGCACAGCCAGCCACTTCTACCGAAGGCAGGGAACCTCGTGGCCCGCCAGGCCTGGTGGGACTCCTACTTGCGACTGACCCGTGGCCACGACAGATTGTCCTGGCGGGAGCTGGCTCCCCAAACCAGTGCACACCTGAAACCTACACCTGCAGGTTTTGCAACGGCCTTTAAAGCAGCCTCCCACAACATGTTTCCTCCAAAATGCATCGGTTTACAACTCCCACACCCCAGCCAACCAGGCTTCGGCAGCCCTGCTGGACAGCACCCAACAATTCAGTGGTCACCAAGAAGCCAACCCAAAGGACACAAACCATGTGCCTTCCCCTCTTCGCCTTCCGGAATTCACAGATAGAGTGCTTCAGTGCAGGGAAGCTCCATTATGGCTCAACCATCCACAGCCTGATCTGTTCTGAAGGTCTTCCCCCTGCCCCCACCCCACGGGTAGCAGAGCTAAGATATCTAGACAAATGCACGGTAAATACCAGCCGGAGGCGCCCAGTGTTAGTCCAGAGGCTGGTGGAGAGAAACACCAGGAGGGTGCGAGGCTGAAGCATATGGCAGGCACGGGGCCAACCCCAGCGCAGGGCTCCAGAAAATGAAGACAGCAAAAAGACCAGGAGGAAAGGAGGGGAAGGATTCAAAACGAAAAGGGATAGGAAGAAAAACTGGTTCTAGCGGATCTAACCAGCCCTCGTTTTTCCACTGACCTTAGCCCAGCGTTTGGAAAAGAAGGAATCGTTCGCCTCGCACGCCTTTCCTAAGTAATTTCCAGCTAGTTCTGCGGGCCTTATTCCAGGGAAGGGGGCGCGGGGCGCAGCCGGGGGTCGGGGGCCCGCCGCTCTCCGCCCCTCGGCCCGGCGCAAGGCACCCGCAAGGACGCCACCTCGGGCCGGGCGCCAGCGCCCTCCGGGACCCTGGAGATGCCTTTCCTCTGCAGCAGGTCCCCCTGGCGCTGCGAGCCGAATGCGCCCCCCGCCCCCCCAGGCCGGCGGGGGGGGGAGGGCCGGCCCGGCCGCCCCCCCGCGTACCTCGCAGGACGCCGGAGTAGGCGGCGATGATGGTCTTCATGGCTTCACCGGGGTAGCCTCAGCGGCGGCCTCCGGGGGTCCCAGTCCATGCCGGGCGGGGCGCGGAAAGCGAGGAACGGCGGCGGCGGCGGCGGCTCCTCCACTGCCTGCCGGCCCGCTCGCTTGCTCGCTCGCTCGCCCGCCTCCGGTTCGACCCGCAGCGCCGGCCGGCCCAGCAGCGGCTCTGGAGGAGCGGCGGCGGCGACGGGAGGAGGAGCGGCGGCTGCACCGGCCAGTGCGCCCGCGGCGCGCCCATTTATAGCACCTGCCGGGGGGGCGGGCGGGGGCGGGCGGAGCGGAGCCTCCCGCGGGATTGTGATGCGGCGCGGCCGCGGGGCGGGCCCTGGCGCGGGGGGGCTGCCGATCTGGCCCCGCGCCCGCGGGCGCCCCGTGGGGACGCGGATCGCCGGGGCTGGGGACGCGGGCGGATGGCGAGCGCCGCCGCGGCCCCCGCGCAGGCCGCTCCCGGAGGGTCCCCCGCGGAGGCGCGCACCTGGCGAGCAAGGGCGGGCGGCCGGGATGGGGGGCCCGTCCGCCCCGAGGGGAGAGGCGCGGCGAGGGCCCCGGGGAGGGGGCTGCTTAGCTGGCCAGAAGAGGGGCGAGCGGGAGCCAGGAGGCGCGATGCGGAGGACGCGCGGGGGGCCCTGCTGATGCCGGGGCCCGAGGGGGCCTCCGCGGGGCCGGCGGGTGGGCGATGGGGGGCCGCCTGCCTCCACCCAGCGCGGGGTCGTGCCGGCATCCCCTGCCTGTCTGGAGCTGTCCCCGCGGCCAGCCTTTTGGAGAGCTGTAAAAGGGACTGGAGGAAATTCCTGGAGCGAGAGAGAAGCCCACCTGTGGCTGCTGGTCTTGACGGCTAGGCGCCACCTCAGGTATCAGAGGCCTGCGATGACCAGTTCCTGGGGAGCATGGGTTGCAGGGTGCCCTGTCTATGCTTCCCGATAGCCATCCCGCTTAGCCAACGTGTGAGCAGAATGCAGGACTCTGTGGGCCCTGGCCCAGTCCAGCCAGGCCCTTGCTGTGTTCCCCTAGCACCATCTCTGTGCATCTGGCAGCACAACCAGAACAGGTCAGCTCCCTGCCCCAAGGAGCTTACAGTGGGGTGCTTCCAGATGGAAGGCTCCTACTTCTGAAGTGGCAGAAGTTGTGCGGCTATTCCAGCTTTCCTTCCTTCTGGAATTTCCTGCGATAGGGAAAAAGATGGAAGTTGTGGAAGGAACAGATAGGAAGGTGATGAGAAGTTAGGAATGCTGGCGTCATCCAATCAACCTGCAAATACTGCTGGAGAATTGCATCATGAAATACTAGGCTGTGCTAACTTCTTTATAGATGTGGCCAAGTGGGTGTTTTCACCTGCCAGTGAAAGAATTCTGACTTAATTTTCAGTTGATTCACCCATGAATAGCACCATTCAAAGCGTATTTGCTCAGGAGCAAGATGCACTGTATTCAGTGGGGTTTATTCTTAGCCATGCAGAGCAAAACTTATATGAAAAAGAGTAAACTTTTTTCTTCTTTTATTTCTGAGTTCAGACAATATAACCCACATTCAAAGGTTGAGAATGATTGAGCATGGTTTGTTATAGAACCATGGGTTGTTCAAAGGTAAGTTATCGTATGGTCTGAACCCAGCTAAGATAACAAACCATGGTGAAGAACCCACAGTCCACACAAATGGTGAGTTTTGTTCATGGGTTGTTCATGCTTGTTATCTTAGCTTGATTCAGACCACACAACCCAAGTCCCAGCAGCAACCCACAGTTCAGACACAACCAGCCCTTAATCCTATCATGTTGTCTGAATGCACTCACTGTGTCTTCACTTTTACTTTGGGGTCGGCTCCTTGCAGTGGTTGGGGGCCCACGGTGATCCCCAGACACCACCAGGGGGAGTATCCCTGCCCCCATACTACCAAAAATTGCCAGTGTGGCAGCAAAAAACCCCTACCCCCCTTTTTCAAAGAACAGCCGTCAATAAAGAACTGATGGTCATGAAAAGCAGGGGTTTTCTCTCATGCCACCACTGATGTGCTGCCAAGTTTCAGAGATGTGATATAGCCTCCCCCCCCACCTCCAAAATGGCCGGAGGGACCGTATGCGCCCCACCCCTGTGTCTCCCTGGATGGGATGTTGTCCCATCTTCCTTCTTGCACAGGAAGGGATGCCTCTTGCAAAATAGCAGGTCACCCCTGGTTTTATGGGCACTTGTACTGAGAACAATGTTAACATTTATTCAGTCAGGTACACGGTGAATAGGATTCACCTTTTCAGTTGCTCAAAATGTATGCTAGTTCAGGGTTCAATCCTATGCATGTATTGCAAGAAAAAGGGCTCAGAAGAGCTTTGTGGAAGGCACAGCAGAGGGGTGGTATCCAGCTCAATGGGATCCCACTCGGAAGACTGCCTGTCCACAAAACTCTTCTACCCATCCTTCCAAAATGTTGAGGTGAGGCAGGATTGAACAAGACTGCCACCTTCTCCATTAGCCATGACTTTCCCTCAGCCTGTTCAACCAACCCTCTAGGTGGCTAGTCCACATGATGGACTGCAGATACCGAATTGCAGGACGGCTCATTTTCCGAGATGAAGGACGTCAGGATGTGCTACACCGTGACCCAGACCGACGTCCCGATAGCCTGATCCTAACAAGGCAGACCCGGAAGCCTTGGTCATTTCAACCGGATGCCCTTCCAAAGAAGACCGCAAGCCTAAAACTCCCTTTCAGGGCCATGGCAACCTTCCCAGCCACCTGCAGCCCTGAAATAAAGGGAGTTGATTCCTTGTAGGGTCCCCCAGGATGCATGTAGACCGAGAAGCACCTGTGGGGTTTGAGGCATTTGGAAAAATGTTGTGCCCTTTTGTGAACCATGTTTTCTGGCACCAAGCGAAGGCAGGATAAAGGAGCATCTATTTCCCACTGCCTCTGCTTGGCACCTGAGGATGGGTGTCTTTCCAAGTTACCTTTTGTGCCACTCCAGATTTGATGCCAAGGAATCCCACACCTGGAGGCCTGCATGAGAAAAGCTATTCAGGGGGACAGGAAACCTTCAGGCAGTTGAAAGGGGCTCAGACTCCATACATATTCATTCCATGTGGAGGATTGTGAGGGAAGGAGTCAGAAATGAGGCAGCTAATGCTGTGCTGCTCTTATTGGTATCTCTTGCACGGGGCAAAGAGCCGCAGTTTAATGACAGAGTCCTGCTTTGCATGTAGAAAGCCCCAGATTCAGTGCCTGGCATCTCTCAGTATGTCTGGAAAAAGTCCTGCCCTGTGGAGCTGCTGCCAGTCAGTGTGGACAATACTGGGGTAGAGGGACCAAGCATCCTACAGGCTGGTTTCAGACACCGTGACAGAGCATGGCAGTTTTTTACCCTTGTCGGTCTGTCATGTTGTCTGAACTCAGCCACAGCATTTCACCATGGTACCTTTGATCGTTAAAATCCATGATAAGCAATGGTTTGTTCGATGGTTCCTCTGTACCGCCATGTGTTGTCTGAGCTCAGGATCAGGGTTTCCACGGTCCTGGTGTGCAACTGCCACAGAGTCCTCTGGAAAGAGTGGCGACTGCAGGAGCCGCTCCAGCCATCCAGCCTCTATGGGTGGGCCAATAAGGAAGAGGCAGGTGAGATGGCGGGGAGTGAGGCACCCTGGGATCGTCCCGCTTGACGCTTTAGAGATGCTGGGGTCTTCCGCAGGCCACACACGTGTTCTGTCACGGAGCGGTGGCCCTTCCCAAAGTCAGGAATGCAGAAGGAGAAGTATCTGCTCCAACGTAAAACTTTCCACCAGGACATGACTACTGGGCTGTTCTCCATAGTGCGTTGCACTGCGAACGATGCAATGATCAGCCACAGACTTAAATGGATTTGGATTTCTATGAATCCGAGCTGCAGACTGAAGCAGGCTGAATTTTCCCAGGTTGAGCTGGTTTCACGGACTGGCAGCTGGTTTTTTTTAACTTTCTGTAACATACGCAATTTTTTTAAATTACCAAAAAATTAAAAATAAGCTGAGCAAAATAACATGTCTTCTCCTGCCATAGACTGGAGTATGAAAATGTGCATTTTGGGGGGCAAACCGTGAGCAATTTGCCCCCCAAAATGCAATTGCAATTGCGTGGCCGGCCCCGTCAGTGAGCAGGCACTGGGAAGTTGCCCACGGGGATGGTGTTGCAGAGGGCCCTGGAGGGGGCCGCCTGCCCCACTTCTGTGAGAAGGCTCAAAGGTGGAAAGGGGGAGCAACATTGCGACAATTGCTGCCGGGGGCGCCTGGTGCCAGCGCTCAGTGCAGTCTAGCCCGGCGTTTCACAAGAGGGTCAGCAAGGGGACAGCAGACAGGGACAGCTTTCCAGTCCCCAGAGCCTTGGATTCCCTTTGGACTTTCATACGTGACCTCGAGACGAAACCAGCTGTATTGTTATTTTTTTTGTCCCGGCTCATTTCAGCACGGCACGGGCGACCAGGTGCCAGGAATGGGTCCCGGAAGCCCCTTTGCACAAAATCTGTTGCAATTCATGCTCCCAGTTACATGAGGGCAGTTACGAAGACTGTCTGCGAAGGCTAAATTTAACCACGTGGAAGTTCTGAAACAGAAACGCTTCTGGGCTGCAAAAAGACGATGCCGGAGAGCCGAGGGGGCGCACGTCGTATTGTTAGGTGCCACCGTGCCGTCTCTGACTTATGGCGGTCCCATGAATGAAAGTCACACGATGTCCTCTCCTCTCAGCTCTTGTAAATGCCAGGCGGCGGCTTCCTTTGTGGAGCCCTTCCATCCTCCGCCTCTTCCCTTGCCACTGACTTTCCCTGGCATGATCGTCTTCTCCTGGGAGCCTTGCCTTCTCAGAATGTGTCTGAAGCATGAGAGCCTCCGTTTTGTCATTTTTGCTTCTAAGAAAGTTCTGGCTCGATTCGATCCAGGAGCGCTAGTTGGTCTTTCTGCCTGCCCTGGGTATTTGCAAAGCTTTCCTTCAGCACATGTTTTGCTTGCCAAGCTTCCGCACCCTTGAAGCATGGATGACCTTGGCCTTCCGCGTGAGGGTCTT